GAAAATTCCTGCATTTCTAAGAATATACTGGGCAAGGCAAACATCACCCCCTGTAACCAGCACACTCAAACCCCCCAGACAGGCAGAAATATTCCATTATATTTCAACAGATTAACAAATCATAACATATTCTACACCATTCCAATAAATGCAGTGGACAAGTATTAATGCATTCATACATGAATTAATTTGTATTTAATACAAATGAATACTCTTACAAGATATTAATTGCAAAGAACTCGTTTTAGAAGGCCAGTTGTTAAAAAAAGGGGCCAGCCAAGAAGATCTGATTTTTATGCTCACAAAATTATTTTAAAGTGTGTATTTCTATTCCAAGGCTAACCATCTCCTCTCTCTCTACTCAGAAATCCTCTACTATTTTATTAAAAATGCAATATTCTGCCTCAAAACCTATCCTGGAGTGTCCATATTTTTATACTAGGAAGCCTTTCACAGTAATTTACGTTGATTATTTTGGCATCTCAAGTAAAGGTACTGCTCATAGCCAGCTCAAAGCTTTTAAAAACCTCTTAATGTTCTGCTCAACTACCAGTTGGCTCAAGTATCTATGGATTCTGCATATATTTCTGTTTGGTGAAAAACAAATCCACACTCACAAAATCCCCAGCACACTGGACACCCTGTGAAGAAATAATAAATTGAGACACTATGTTAAATAGAAACATAGGGGCTTGGGGGTATTTTTGTTTTTTATCATGACCTTGGCTAATATTAGTTCCAACTTTATCAGTGGGGAGAAAAAAAACATTTTGAATGGAGTATGTATTCTTTTCACTTTCAGTCTGCACTTGAAGCAACCAAGAGATTCCCTTCAAAAAAATGCCCACTTTATCTTCAGTCACATGCTTAAGAAACATTTCATTAATGCAAGCAAGCTGCTTTCAAGGTTATTTTTTTTGCCACATAACCAGTAAAATCCTGTAAAAAAAAAAAAAAAAAAAAGACCCCATCTAAAATTCTGCCATGACCACAGGCATTTGAGACTCCAAGGACAACTCACCTAAGGGGAATTCAACAACTGGAATGCCAAATTTCCCATTTCAACTTGCTCATCACAAAGCAGCGCTGAATGCAATTGCTGAGACAATACGGTGTACCATATGGCTAAAACTGGATATTAAAATTGAGAATATCAATTACCAATCCACTAATGCTGAGAGCCAAAATCCATGGACAGTAAGAATTTAATCCAATTCAGTGCCTAGAACATGAGCTGAGCCCTGCGTGGAGGACACAAATGTAGCGCTGGTTTCACAGAGCGCAAACAACTCCAATTTTTTATTGCAGTAACTATAAAACCAGCTGAACCCAACACTTGCTTAACATCCTCAACCACAGCTCCAGGCCTGGTAGGAATCTACAAAAACAACCAAAGTTTCAGATGAATTGGCATCTGGTTTCACAGGGATTGAGAAATCATAACTAAGTTACTATTTAAGAAGAAGCATAGTTGTTTTCCACATGACCAAATCGAAGCCTCCAAAGCACCAGGAAGTTACAGAGAGCAGCAAACATCTTGCTTCATTTCAGGAAAAGGCATCCTACAAACACAATATATATTTCTGCTATAATGAAAGGGCCTTGAAATTGCATTAGTTGAAGGGTTCTCTTATTCTAAGTAAACTAGTTTAACGGTTCAAGTTTTAGAATTTTTAACAGCTGTGTAGTGATTCTTCTGGGATGATATTAAGAAGAATGCTACAGAAAATTCTATCCACTACCCCATTATACAGAACTTCATTGATTACTTACACAAGAATTCTCATTAAGTCCAAATACAGCATCCCCACATTTTCATGAGGCACGGAGGTGATTTAAAAAACTGTTCTGCTAAGATTTCCTGTGGAATTTTAATTTACCATGTTGTCAAAGATTTCATGCTAGGATGCCTGCTACGTACTGACTTAGCAGCTGCAAGGACTCAACAAGGATAAATGTAATTTATCTTACCCAAAACAGAATATCACTTCACTCTGCTTCTTTCTGATCCTGTGCTAAAAGGCCAAAGTAGTAGTAACAAAAAAATTGCACAAGTAATTTCAGGTTTAACAGGACATTAACATCAAATGGAACTAACAGTTTATTGGACAGTATTCTTAAGTTATAAAAAAAAATAAATCTTGAAACACAAGAAAAGCATTCAGCTAATTTCAGATTTTTTTTTAATTAAAAAAAGCACCAGCACCACAAGCCTCAACTGAAAATCAGCTCTGCTGCTTCCTAGCTTCCTTCTGCATGAGCTACAGCTGGGTTACTACAATAAACTAACAAACAACTGATTATACATTAAGTAATAGATAAACAGTACTAAAATGTTTGATATTATCAAAGGTTTGGAGGTCACTTGAATACAGGAGACATAACAAGCATTTCTTATTTTTCTTGCTGGGAAGGATATTCTTTTAAGGCTGAGTCCAGTATATCAAATATTAACCAAGCTATTTTATTTAGGCTACCAAAGTTAAGGAGTTTGGCACTATAGTGAAATATCACAGGAGTTACAAACCAAAAGTCCATTTTTCTTAAAAGGTACTAAAAACCACACATAAAAGGCTTTAGAAATTTGTAATGTAGTTTTGAAGCAGACTACTCAGACCCAGAGCTGTTTTAACATCCCCCAAGCCTTTCTTATTCCTGCCCGTTAAAAGAACAGTTATCCAGAGGATGGCAGTAATTCTGGGTCAGCAGCAGTCTTAAACCCTCCACAAATTGGGAGTGTTCTGAAGCAGACAGGAGACTCTTTTGTGGCACAGAAAGACACCTGTCTGCACAGGCTCTGATCTGATGATTACCTGGCCAGCAGAGACCCACGGCCCAGCAGCCTTTGTGTACCTGTGCTCTACGTTTAAAAACTGTTTTTTTAGCAACAGGCTTAATAAAAGCCAGGAACGTTTTGGTGGTGTTAAGCATACGCTGCAAGGTAAAAACGAAAATTGTGTCACCCCTTTATTCATTTAAGAGCCTATGTGAACATTTCAATAAAACTATCTACTCCTCCCACCTAGTTCCTATCTGGAGAAGCTCACAAAAATTAAGAAAAAATCAAAAAAAACCCACAGATTTCTCACAGCAATCTTCCAAATGCTCCTCCTACCCCGACCCCAGAAGAGAAGAAAGCAAAGAGAACGAGAAAGTAAATCTAAAACACAATTACGAAATAAGATCTAGTTTGGCAAAGCTGGGGTGAGGAGGAGTTGAAAAATGAGAGCTGCCTTGCTGCAAACGCCATCTTGTTGCAGCTACTGGGCCCAGGCACAGAGAGATCCATTCATTCACAGCAAAAAGAAAATCAAACAGACACCCTGGCTAATCTGCAGCCACCAAAACAACTACACTATTATCACCCCTTCTCCTTCTCCTCTCCTCAAGCACACGAGGGAGAGAAATAAACTCTGATCTATCACATTTAGGCACGGATTTAGGAATTAACATATCATCTTCGTTTCCTCACACGTATTTCACATACACATCGACAGCATTTTGTCTTGATTCACATCCTCGTGTCCACATCAGCTTAAAATATGGGATAAATCTCTCACGATTAGGTGCAGATATCCTACAGCAGCAAAACGTTTAATTTTTCAGTCTTAAATCACCTCTCCAAGTTCAGCCAACTATTCTCAAAAGCTGTTTCAATAATCACTTAAGCCTTACATTTACAGTGCTTTCCTCCTATTTCCTCCTCTGGAGACAATACATAATAACGTGGCAGTCGGCACATCCTAGAAAGGATGCCTGGTTTAAAAACGAGTCCCAGCCATGACTTTGTTAAAGAATAATGAAATATCACATTCGTTAAAATTTCAGTTCATCTTCAGGAATGATAAATTGACATCTTACAACAACCTCTACATCATCCTGATTTTCTTCTGGACAAGATTTTTTTGTTAATAAAACGCCTCATCTCTTTCATATTTACATGCAAGGCTTTACACATCTTCGTTTCCTACAAATCTGTAGGATTAAAAATCCTACACGTTCAATATCGCTTGCACGGATGAAAAAAAAAAAAAGCTGAAATCCTTTCGATAAAAAGCTGAGAATTGAAGTAATATTTTAAACAACATTTCCAAGGAGAAAAACTCCATCTTTCTATTGTAGCAAACACCCTCCATGATCTTCGTTATCGCTGCTACGGGCACACAAAAATATGCAGCACCGTAATACATGGGGGAACAAATATGCGGTTTGAATCCATCCTCGGTTCCGGTTCTAACGAGAACAAAACCTTCCCTACCCCTCCCTCGCCCAGCACACCCAGCATGAGCCCCATCTGCGAGCCCTCGGCTGGCTGGGGGTGCTGGAAGCAGCCTTACCCTGTTTGTCTCACCCCCGGCTCCTCTTAATCAGTTTTCCACCATTACAGCAGCCACACCATTGCTTTTTTTTTTTTTTTTTTTTTCCTCTTCCCTTGAATCTCTCTCCAAATATTCTGTCTGCCGGCTGGATCGCTGGGGAAACTCGCCTTTTGTGGCTTAAGACAAGACCCCAAAACCGTCTAGCAGAGACCACTACAGCGTAATTATAATTAAAAATGGAACCCCGCAAGATCCGAGGTCTCCTCCCTTTTCGCCTGGAAGCCTTCGAGAGGGAATCAGTCCCACCCCCACCTTTTTCCCCTCCTCCTCCAGCTACAAACACACTTCTTTTTTAGGGGAAGCTGGAGCCCCGAGGAGGTGGGAAGCGCGGGGGAGGGGGGCTATTTCCAACCCCGCCATACCGAGGGTCGCCGAGAACGGGGCCGATGAGGAGGCGGCGGCCCGGGGGGCCCCCGGTGCGGCGGCGGAAGGGGAGGACAGCGGAGGAAAGGAGAGGGAAAGGAGAAGTGCGGCAGGAGGAGGAAGCGCGGGGGAGGGGAAGGAGCGGGGCTGAGGGGGAGCCGAGGGAAGATGGCCCCGGGGTGGGGCCGGCCGGGGCTCGGCGGGCGGGAAACGCGTTCTGAGGGACCCCCGCCCTCCCCGCACCCCTCACACGGTTACCTGCCCTCCCGGCCGCTGCTCATGAACCGGGCCGGTCCGTCCGCCGCCCGCGGTCCTGCCCGCGTCCCGCCGGCCTGGGGAGGGAAGGGGGGCGGAGGAGGAGGAGGAGGCGGCGGAGGAGGAGCGGGGGAGCCGCCCGCGCTGCGCCCGGCGGGTCCCGGGGAAGGCGGCAGAGCCGAGCGGGAAGGAGGGATCCGCGGGGGAGGGGGTGTCGCTGGGTCTCGACTCCTCCTCAGCCCGCTCAGCTCCCCGCAGCCATCGGGCAGCGGCAGCCTGGGCGCGGCGAACCTTCCTCCCTCCCTCCTTCCCCTCCTCCCTCCGCCCCGCCCGTGCTGCCCGCCCGGGAAACCCCGGCTCGGCTCCCACCCCGCCCCGGCCCGGCCCGGCCCGCCGCTCCCCGCCGCCCCTCACCGGAGGCTCCGCCGCCCCGCCCTGGCCCCGCACAGCCCCGGCCGCCGCGAGCCTCACCGGAGGCTCCGCCGCCTCCACCGGGCACCCGCCCAGCGCGGCCGGGAGGGAGGGCGGGCAGTGCGCGCTCCCGGGAGCCTCGCGGTGCGCGCTCCCGCGCGGGCAACGCCCTTCGGCCCCTTACGCTGGCGGCGGCCGCGCGCTTCCCGCCTCCCGCCCGCGCTCCCGCGCGCTCCCTCCCCTCAGCGAACAAAGGGCGAGGGCGGGCGGCGTGCGGGGGGATCGTGCGGGCCGAAAACAAGTCTGAAAGAGCCGGATGGGAACAAAAAGACACGAAAGCGAACCCACGAATGGTGTTTAAGCTCAGAGCTGGGAGAGGCAGAGCCTCCACACCACGTTAAATGGGAGCGCTCCGGGCTGCCGGGCGGGAAAGGGCGGGAGTGGCCACAGGCCTTAAAATGCTGCTCACAAGAGGCTGGCAAGCGATAAATGCCTTCGTATCATCGTGTGAGGAGAGACTGCGGGAGCTGGGCCTGGTTAGTCTGGGAAGGGAACGCTGAGGACGGATCTCATTAATGAATAAAAATATCTCCAGAGGGTGTCAGAGGATGGTGCCAGACTCCTCAGCGGTGCCCAGCGACAGGACGAGGAGCAATGACTGTAAACTAAACCAGAAGTTCCGCCTCAACATGAGGAAGAGCTGCTTTCCATGAGGGTGGCAGGGAGGGTGTGGGGTCTCCTTTTCTGGAGCCACCCCAAACCCACCTCGGCACTATTTTTATTTCATCTGCTCCAGGTGACTCTGCCTTGGCCACGGTGATCTCCAGAGGGTCCTTCCAACCCTAACAAATCTGTGATTCTGTGATCTTTCCTTTAGCATCCTGACAAAGTAGCAATTCTGTAGCTTAGAGCTTTTTTTTCCAGCTTTGGTTATAAAGGTACTCACACAGTCCAAGTTTCCAGAGCATTCTTTTCATATTCTCCTCACGGCATCCATCACTGCTCTGGAAGGGTTTGCATGAAAGAGAAAGTAGAAAAAAAAATAGTAAGGAAGCATAAAAATTGCAATTTCTGTTTTGCAGACGAGATCTCATGTAAACCAGGCAGGTGAGATGTTACCGAAATGGAATCATTTCCCACCAGAAATCATATAAGTAAGTAGAGATACAATATTGCATCATTTTTCCTCTTATCACAGGCCTAAATCTGGGGGTTTTTCCCAATATTTGTTTATACCTTGCTAAAAGGTGAGATTACTTAGCAACAGAAATAGGTTTATAGCAAAAGTAAAGCAACCCACAGCATTATAGCCAATTTTCAATTAAAACCTATCCAGCACAGATACACTGTAATAAAATAAACAAAAGACCCCACAAAACACAACAAACAACAACAAAAAGATTAAAGGGGCCAATATTTTTTTCTGAAAATTCTTCCCCAAGTAGATTCTTGCTTCCCTAGAATTTAAACCAAAGTGTTCCTTCTGTCATGCTTTCTGAAGGGAGGTGTGGTTACCTTTAATTAGTAAAAGAAAGAGCAGGTTTGCCAATTAAACTGTAGGAAAGTGGATTGGCTATTATTCAGGTTGTTACAAAAAACTATTAGATCCTGGTGTGGTTAAGCCTTTGATTTATAATAATCAGATGTTTGTTTTTAAATAACTTTTATGATGCACTAAAGTTTTAATTCATCACCTTGAGATTTACAAATAACAAAATAAGAAATTTACTGAAAATAGAATAAATTATTCTTGAATTACTGTCTCAAATTGCTAATATTCTTTTCAGTAACGGTGGGGAAATTTCTGTTCCACCCCTGAAATGTGGACAGGAATTTTCCCATTAAAATCTGTGGAACCACATTGTATGCAGATGGGGATGTCAGTGTTCTTGAGGCCAGAGATTCATCCAGCATCCCCATCTGGAAAATACTGATTAAATCTAAGGGCTTAAGAAACACCACAACTTTATTAGATATTTGCAAAGTTGCCTACAGATTTCAAAAGCAGTTACACACAATATTTTACTCATTAAATTTAAGTGAGATTTATAGTAGGCAAGTTGCATATTGAGGTTTTTTTAATTTATTTTAATTTTTTTTAGTTAGAGATTGCTTTTAGGCTTAGCAGAGATTAAGATATCCTTTTGGGAATGCACCATTTATGTGGAAAAGAATGACCACTTAATACATTAGGAAAAAATAAGATATTAAACATAAAGGATTGAAAAAAAAAAAGAAAAGTCCTTGTTTTACAAAGGAAGATTTCTCAGTCTTATGAGATTTTGTGGAAAGTTTTCAGTTAGCACTGGATCATACAGAAAAAAATCTGTGTAATGAACAAAAATAACGTTGTGAGATTGATAGCAAATAGTAAATCACATTTTACTTCTTTGAGAAAATAGCTGCATTGAGATTTTATTATTGGACTAGAACTGTTGCAGTGTGAATTAATTATATCAAAAATTACATAATTATGAATGATATCATTAACTAATGCATGCTTTTATCCCATTACACATTCTTGTCATACAGGTACTGCTTTTCCTCCTTAGATTTCTCTCATATGCTTTTACCAGTGGTGCAATTCTAATAGCATTGTTTGGGTTTTTTTTAATAAAATATACATTGAGATCTTATGCTCTCCTAGGAATCTCTATTTTTTTCCTTGCATTCTAATTTTTATCCATCCTCTGTTTCATGTGAGCTTAAGGGAATTTCTGTCCACAGATCTGTGCTCTGCCATGTCTTCAAATCCATGGAATTTGGGTAAGGAAACTGGATCAGTCAGAAGTGTTTATAGCACATTTACACACAGCCAGTGCTTTCACCACACCTATTCTTTTGTAAAAATACAGCTGTTGCAATAGTTCCTGTTTCTGATCCAGTGACTTAATTTATATCTATTTCTTCAAGGAGAAGTTTGATTTTGTACAGTTCCACTGCTGCTGTGGGGAGGGATCCTGAGCATTGGAGGTGGTTGTTTACAGAGGGGAGCTTGTACCAGGTGGGTTGGGTTTGGTTTGGTTTGGTTTGTAAATCTCACTGGACAAATCAGTTTTGCTGCATTTTAAAACTTGGCAGAAGAATCCCACGTTGCTGTGTGGAACAAGCTGTCCTCATATAATCCTGTGCTAGAAGCTGCTGCATCTTTATTTTTAATTTTTTTTTTTACTTTTTTATTTTTAAAATTTATTTTTCATTTTTAATCTTAATTTTTTACACAGATCTATGAATTGCTGTAGTTTGTACTGTTGGGTGGATGAATGTGCAAATCACCAGAATTAAGTGGATTTACCTGATATGTTTAACTGTTTCTATACACTGCAAAAATATTGTTTATAACTAAAAATTTAGCTAAAATACCTGTGAATACTTGAAGATCTGGTATAGATAATTAATAAAAGAAATTTTAACGGTTTTTTTTTGTTTGTCCACTTGGAAGTTACAGTTTTGGTCCTGGGTTAGAGCTACAGAAAACCTCTGTAGAAAAGTTGCTCCATAGTTCTCCATTGCAAAATTTCTTGCACCTTTTTCTCAATCAGCTGCCATTAACCCCTTTGTAGGGAGCATCCTGAGTTAGGTGAAGCTTTGGGCAGTTTCACTTCTTAAAGTAATTAATTTTTGCATACAAATACCATTGTTATAATCAAAATTGACATATTGTTACCCGAGTGAAAATACTGCATGATTCTTACGGTAAATCAGGATGCTCCTGGTCTCTGAAAGAATAACTCACCAAACAGGTATAAATTATGCTTTCTACAAAAAGGTGAAAAATCAGCACTTTGCAAAGCTCCTCAGATGGTAAAGAATACTGCTGAAGCAATAAATAATTGTGTTTTGCCTCCTTCCTTTGCAACCTCAGATAAGTGTTTTTAATAGACTGACTCAAAACCCCACCTGATATTCCAGAATCACAGCATTTCCCATTCCATAACGTTTTGTCTGCCTTTGTATCCTTTCATGGCTGCAGAGTGCATTCTGTGAGCCCTGGAGAGAGCCAAGGAGACACTCACGTGATTTTGAATTAGTTTGAAGTTCTCTGTTTGGTCCCTAAAGCAAAGCAGAACTCTCATTTCTCCTGACATTGCACCAAAATTAAAGGAAGCTTATACAATGTCTAAACTTCAGCTGTGCTTCAATCCTGAGTCTATTCAGAGCTCTTTTTTTTTTTTTTTACTATTGTTTTATTTTTTAAAACCTTATTCAGAGCTGTTCCAACCTGCTGTTATTTGCCACTTCTTTAACAATTGGATGACAATCATCACTGCTACCTTCTGAGGAAGGACCCAGGTAGCAGAATATTAAGATCATTCATTAGAGAAAATAAATAAGTAAAGGCAAATGGAATAGAAATCCTCAGTGGGGCCAGGCAGAGCAAAAAGTAGGAGTAGCTCAGTCTCCTTAGTTACATTCTGCATTCTCACAGTTTCTTTCAGTTTCCCTATTATTATGGAACAAAAGAGTTATTTTAAACACTTCTGAGAACATGGCATAAAATTAGCAAAATTGTGTTAGTCTGCAGAGAATATAATTGACAATGTTTTAAGGTAAGGGGAATGGTTCTGAGAGTCTTTGTGTCAGTGAGGAAAGTCCATAGACCTGAGTTTTTACCTGATACAGTCATGGAAGATGTTCCTGAATTCTTATGGTGAGGATCAGGATGGGTTGTGTGTGAAATGGGTTCAAGGACAGTTAATTCAGAATTCTTGAGAGACTTTGGAAGAATCCATTGCTGTGTAAGTGAAGCAGCAGAGTTGTGAAGGCCCAGAGCTGTCCTGGATGTGTTCCTGGGAATGTTATAATCATGTCTGTTGTATGATTGTCTTTGAATATTTTGTTCTCAACAGAGGCAGCACTGGAACAGGACACACTGGGCTCCATGTCCTTACAAAGGCATTATCTCTAGTCCTGTTGTCTCACAAATTCTAGTCTTGTTTTCTCACAAATTATGGCTGGAGGTGCTTTCATTTCCAGGGAAAAACCTTGCTCCTATTCCCTTGTGACCCATTTAAAAAATCCAATGCCACAGGTCTCTCTGACTCCAACAATAATATTAATTTATTCCTAGATCCTATGTTTGGCAGAACTTGAAGCATTTTCCAAAGCCAAAAAAATACAAATACTGTTGTCTTAGACATAGGAGGCTGATGCAGAATGATGTGAAATTATTTTGCCACCAATACCCAGCACTTCATGGAAAGAAGGGAGATGAAATGCTGGGATTGCTTGAACCTGGATCTACTGTTCCTCACAGTCAACACCTGATTTTATACTGTGATACAATCCTAGTGTGACACAAATACAGAATTTTGTAATCTGTGTGGATACTTGTCCAACAAAACACAGAACTTTTCTGCTGGGAGAGCTGTGTTCTGAACTTCTCTGGTTTTCCATCTTCCACCCTTGAAACATAAACAGGTGTCTCAAGGTTGGTCTGAGCATGCTTATGCACTTAGCAAACACCAATTCTCCTTTTTTTTCCATTCTATTTATACAAATCCATCTTGAGAGAGCCAGAGGAATAGCTCTGAGTGCTTTTTTCCTCCAGTCAGCATTGTGTCAGAGCTCTTTTCCGTGTGCTGGGGATTATTCTGGTTTTCCTTTGTACTCAGGTATTTGTTGTGAGTTTACATTTTTGCTGTAGCTTTAAACTTGCAAGCTGTAGCTTGGCTTTCAGAAGTCCTTTGTTGCTCCTGGAAAATAATATAATAGCAACAAAGGGAATTGTTATAATCATCTTAGAAATCAGATTCTGCAGTGTGTGTTTACACACATCTATAAACACACCCAACCATTTGCACAAATTCAGGTCTTCCTTTAAGCAGGTAACATTTGGTTGCATAAATGCTGATCAAGCAGTTTGAGTAAAAGCTTAAAGCCTCATATTTCCCCATTTCAAACCTCATATTTCCCCATTTAAAGGGACTTTCCTCAAGGGGTTTGTTGAGCAACAAACAGAAAAACAGCTGGGACCCAGGAGATGCTGGGAGTTCAGAATCCACCTTGAGAATTCAGCCTAGCTACTAAACTTTCCATGATGTCAGACACACCAGACCTGTGGTGAAGTTTGAAATACCTTCAAAGACAAACAAATGCTCACCTTGCTGTGTGTCAGATTCCCATGGAACTTCTATCCCCTTCTTCCATCCTTGCCAGAGCAGTCTGGGAATGTGGGTTCAGGTGTGTGTCCTAGGAAGCTGCTGCCAACCACTTCTGTTCTCTCAAACAGCCTGACCTGCAGCTGAAGGAGAACTTCAGTGCTGCTGCAAGACTCTAGAATCCAGAAAACAAAAATGCAGTTATAAAACAAAAATATTTATAGTCAGGGAACTTGTACCACTGTCCTTGGAGAATCTGTGTGAAGTCAAACAAAGCCATAGAGGAGAGGGCTAAGGTGTGTTTGGGAAGTTCAGTAGGCATTAATTGAACTGCAGTAGGTAAAAAAATGAGGAGGTTCGGTGGTGGTTACATCCCATACTCCAAAAAGAAATATTTATTTGGGAAGATGTACTGGAACTTGCAGCCAAGCTCTACTCTTCCATGTCTGAAAGTTCATGCCCTTCGAGCGAGGGGCTGGATTCTAAATTTACAAAAAAAGGAACTTTCCTGTGGCCTCTGGGATCTGTTACAGTAAATATCCCAAATCTCAGACCATTTGTCAGCAATTCTGTGAAACCCTTGAGAGGACTTGTTACAAAGAACATGCTTATAAAATTCGTGTTTCCAAGCAGCCAGGCACAACTTTTATCAAGTGTAACATCTCTCAAGCCACTGCTCAAGAGAACTGACAAAGTCAGTTTTTCAGATTTTCAGAGGCTGAATGAATATTTCAGTAAGTAAACAGCATGTGAAATTTAGTTTTTATACAAAGACAATTACATATAGTGGGGAAAAAATAAGCCCCTCTACATGTATATTTTTGCTTGGTCAAGCCAAAATATTTATTGAAGAAATAATTTTGATGGGAAATATTTTTATAAATCTTAAAACACAAACAAGTTTGGACTAAGAAGTTCCAAAGAATCAAGAAATACATTAAAAAATAGATACTCAAAGTAATATAAACTCCCCCCTTTCCCCAATGAGAGCATTATCATGAACAAGCACAAAACTCGGAAAAAAACCCATAAAACCCAGTGTTCTCTAAAAATCTTTAACTTTTCACTCACTGAACAATCCAGTTTCAGACCTGAGAATAAAATCTACTTGATGCTTGATTAAAGACATTTTTACTCAAGAACTTCACAGCTGGAAATCAGCTTTTACATGACACCAGGAGCAATGAAATGCCCATTTGTCACCTCCAGAAGCTCAGCTCCAGAGCCCCAGAGCTGTTCTGTGTTGGGGTGGAGTTGTGCTCTTCCATTTCTGGTGTTGTGCCAATCCCATAAAACACAAAGACCATTGGGCTTTTGTGATTTCTGACACAGTGGTGCCCCTAGGGATTTGCATCAGAATTTTTTTTTTTTTTCATTTTGCAAATTTTGTATTTGCAGCAGAAAAATCTGGATTTTGGGTTCGGGGTCCTAGACTGCAAGTCACTTAAATTCCCCACTAAGTTCAGCTTGGAGACATCCTAGAAAAGATCCAGCATTATCAATGTACTATTCAGCACTTAACTAAAATAGACAAAAAGACAGTTTTGAGTAAATGGACTTACAGCAGGATTTTGAACCTCTTAGATCACTGGGTAGTACTTCAAATAATAGTTTTGTTTCCTTTGAATTTAATATCTAAAAATAATAATTGTATGGTTTCAATTCTCCACATTTCCACCTTTTATTTATTTTTCCCCTATGGATTATGGGCTACCATCATAGCATACCTACAAATAATTTGCTTTGTAAGGGGTTCAAAAAGAACACCTTAGAGAAAAACAAACCATAAAAAACCAGTTCATATCAGTACCACCTTCCAGTATTAGAAATATAATACCCAAATGTACTTCTTACTATTTAAAACGTGTTTAGAGTTTCATTTATTTTTATGATCAGATGAGTCCATTTCAATTTTTTTGTCTCCCCATAGTTCCATATTGGGGTTTAAATCCTTGTAACAAATGTAATACGAATAAAGATGAATGACATTTTCAGTACTTTTAATAAAACCTCTTTCCGCTGCCAAAATTAATGTTGGAGTCAAAGCTAAAAGCACTCTGTGGTTTCCTAATATGCTCCAGTCAGCAGAAATGCATCCAGAGACATCATCCCCCTTTGGCATTTGTAATTGATGCTACTCCTATTTATTATTTATTAATCTCTCACTCTGAGCATCTGGATGTGACTGAAACTTAATGACTCTCCTGTTTTCTTGTATGAGGTAGCAGGTGACGGGTGGATTTTAACCCCTTCCTGCTGCCCAGACCAGCCACTGGTGGCTCGGAGGTGACTCCCCTGTCTGTGCTTTCTGGTGATGACATTTTCCAGCCCAGCAGAGGCCGGGCATTGGCAGCACGAGTGTCCTGGGAAGGCTGGCAGAGAGGAGCCAAGGGCAGGGTTCTGCTCTGTCTGCAGGGGCTGCCCGAGGGTATTTCTGCACTTGCTGAGCCTGGGCTACAGCTAAAGCCAGCTCTGTGCAGTTCGGTGTGGCAGTGAGGGGTGAGGGGGGCCTTGGGAGCAGAGATTCCCTGCAGGGGGGTAGCAGAGCTCCCTGCCTGTCTGTTCCCAGCCCCACTGCCAGAGCAGTGCTGGGGCCGGCCTGGAGGGGCTGGGCCGTGCAGGGCTCTCCCCTCTCACTGCACTCTGGGGGTGGCTGTGCTGTGGAAGGTGCTGGAGCAGCTGCTGCCTCTGCTCCTTCCCCACTGTAGCACAGGAGAGGGGCTGGGAGGGAAGAGCCTCTGCGTGGTGGAGCTCAGTGACACTGTGCAAGCACAGCCTGCTGGGTTTGTTCCACCTGGAGAGAATTCCTGTGGGGAATGCATGCACTGTGCACTGGCAGCAGAGCCACACAGGCAGATTGCAGAACTGGAAGCATCATCAGTGCCTTGCCATAGTTCAGTTTAGCCCTGCTGAGTGCCCCAATCCGTGGCATTTTGCTTCTGGGATGCTGCTGAGGATCTCTGCACGCACATCCACAGATCCTGTTCCTACAGACGTAGCTCAGAGGTCTCTAGGGTTGTGCCATGCTCAGACATTGCCATTCTCCCAGCAAACTTCACATCAGCTTCCAGTTGTAATGCTGTTCGCATTTTTCCTGTTTCAGTTTTTGAGGCTCAAACTGGACAATTGAACTGCCAGACCCTTGGCCTGAAGTCTAGCAGACTGTTTTTATAGGACACCAAAGCCTAGATAAAAATCTAGAAAGTGAAATTAGCCTGTTATAATTAGTGATAGTCTAGGCATTGACTGGATCCAAACCTTCTCTTCCACAGTTTTTCTTACTTTGTAATTGTAGCAAAGTTACATGATGGCCAAATTTTCTGCCTTTGATTGATGCTCACTGTCATCAGTAAGAGTTTGTGGAAATGGTTTGTTTGAATGTCACTAAGAGTGTCATCCTTGTTGATCATGTTTGCTGAGGGACTGGAGCTTCATGTGCTCCAGCCAAACACAGCTCAGCAGTTGAGGATATTTTGGGATTAAGTGTTGTCACCAAGAACCACTGGTCTGTGCTGCCTCCCTTGAACTCTTGAGCTGAAGCTGTTGGCCATAAACTCAAACTGCTCAGCAGTCCTGAGAGTTTTCACTTGCAGTGGCAAGGCCAAAGTGAGTTCCCTGCTGTTCTGCATATAAGGAGGTGGAAGAAAGAAATCTGGAGAGGAAGCTGAACTTCCTGTGCCAGAGATTTTATACTGGAGCCTTCCCTGAATTCAAGACAATGCAGCCACAGCTTTCGATGTGAATCACTGGAACTCAGATGTGGATTTGAAGAAAGACCCTTCTACATCCACACCTGTGGTTTGGGGCTCATACAGAGCAATCTGATTTTTGGACCTAGCAGTTGCCTCTTCCGTCCCCCACCCCATCTCCAGATGGATGAGAAACTCCCTTTATTTCAGTTTCATTTCTCTGAATGTTGTTTCAGACTCAAAGGAGCCAGTTTGGGCGTCAGGATTAACCACAGGTCCGTGGGTAAGTGACTGCACCGAGTTACAAAGGGAAGAGGTACCAAGGAACCTGAAAGTTCTTGCCTGGTCACAAAAACGGGAGGGGACAGGAAGAAGGACTGTGTGTGACAGCCATCAGTTGATTAGACATGTGCACACACTTGCACTTTTATGATTTATAATTATAAATGGATGAAGAAATCACCAAACGAATTCCATTGATTCACAAATCCTTATCCTGATTTTGTTGTGCTGTCTAATGACATTAATGTGTGTGTTACCTGGCATCTTGCACATTGATTAGAGCTTGGAGATTTTGGGGTGTAGGTTTTGTACCTAAAACAGTGGGATGTGTTAGGAAATCAAGAGGTGGGAATCAATGAGAAACTTTGAATTTTCATTACTGTTATTCTGGCATAGCACTGAGCAGTGGGTTTACAGTATCTCTAACTACAATTCACTTAAGATTTTTCATCAATAACCATTTTGACTGAAACCTGGGGGAGCAAGGCCAAGCTCTGATGGAATATGGTTTTCTTATTGGTGACAATATGATAAACTAGAGAAAGGAAGGGAAATCTTTCTTCCTTCTCTGGCCTGGAAAACATTATTCCTTGTGTTCTTTTTTTAATCCAGGCAATTTCCTGTGCTTCTAAAGCATGGTTTCCCAAAGGAGGGGTATTTCTGTAGCACCTTCCACCCCAAAGCCCCGTGTAAAGCAGGAGGGAGGTTGCATTTCTTTTTCCTTTTATCCATTTCTGATTAAACAGTTGGTGTAGAGCAGAGGAGAGAGGGGAGATTCATCTTCCTCTGGTTTCACCTTGGCACTCCCCTTCCCGTGGGGCCACGCCGAGGTGGCCACGCCGAGGTGGCCGCTGTCACACGCTGTGTCACACGCTGGCGGTGCTCCCTGGCTGTGCCAGGTGATGCAGTGGCAGTGCCAGCCCTGCAATCGCCCCGTGCCCAGGTGGCACCGCCGCCAGCCAGGGCAGAGGCACGGGGACAGGCATCCACGGGGGACTTCACGCTCTGCTTTCTGCAGAGCTCTATTCCACAGGCAGCAGAAATCCATTAAACAGCTCCCTGGAATCCAGGGGAAATTCCTGGATGATTTAGATAAGTTGGAGAAAAGATGGAGTTAAATATTTGGATGATTAAGGCATCGAAGCATCTGACGTATGAGGGAAGGATGAGCAAGCTGGGAGTCTTT